GGGGGGGGCTGGGGCTGGGCCAGAGGCATTGCTGTGCTAGGAGCAAGGGTGACTCCCGGGGGAGGCTGAGCACTTTCCTGAAAATTTCGGCGGGGGCTGAAGCCCCGCCGCCCCCACGAAGATTACGCCTATGGCTGTGAAGAGGCCCCCTCTCGGGAGCTGCGGAGGCAGCCGGCCAGTCAGAAGGGTGAGACCAGAGTCTCTGGGGCAGCTGCAGAACCTTCAACTGCCAGCGGGGGGCAGTGGTGGGAGGGCCAGAGCCAGGATTCAGTCTCCTCTCCGCCCTGGAAGCTTGCTGGGTGGCCTGGGGGCCGGTCACACACTGGCAACCTCGCCTGCCTCACAGGGTTGTTGTTGTGAGGGGAACACGGAGGAGGGGAGGATGTTGTAAGCCATGTTGGGGGGGGTTGTCTCCAGTGGGAAGGAGGAGAGTGGGGGCATCAATGAAGTAAAGGGAGGAATGAGTCTTGGGGTGCTTTAGTGTCAGACCCCCGGTCCAGCTCCGCTCAACAACTCTCTCTTGGCAGTGATAAGTTTATTGAGATGTATGCCAGACCCAGAAAGTCACTGTGTTAGAACTGAGGACTTTTGGTGGGTACAAGCTTAATATAGGTAATTCAGAGAAAAGCCCCTTCCTTCCCCCCAGGCATACGTCACATTGACTCAGCGCCTAACGTTGCCATCCCAACCAAGTGAAAGATATATGTCTGGGTTATCTGCCGTCCAAGCTGGTACAAAGAGTCTCTCAAGGACACCTTCCCCTGGGAAACAGAGAGGAGGGGAGGGAGGCTGACTTGTGAAGTTATGTCTCCTAGAAGCGAAAGGTCTCAGTCTCACCCTCACTCACTCACTCCACCCCCCTCCCCTTAGGAATTCCCTCCCCTCCCCCCAACAGTGATGGCAACCAAAGCGAGCAAAGAGTAGCGTGGCTTGACACCTAGAGACTCACAGATTTACTATAGCTGCAGCGTATGGGAGCTACAGACATGGCGGTGGAGACCTGCGGGGACATGGGACCCGGACCACAAAGGCCTCCACCACAGGAAATCAGTGCGTCTTTAAGACGTCACACGACGTGTGTCAGAAATGTGATGCGCCTGAATCCTCTGTCCAAGGGAGGAGGTGGAATCCGGCCTGACCTTTCTGGGCTTCCTGATCATGGAGAACCGCCTGAAGAGGGAGACCCGGCCGGTCCTGGAGGAGCTGACGGCCGCCCGCATCCGGAGCGTGATGGTCACAGGTGGGGGTGCCTTCTTTGGGGAGAGACCGTCTGGCCTGGCAGCCGGAGGGAGGAGGACTCTGAGCGCGTCCCTCAGATTTGCAGCGGTGTTCCATGGGCACCTACCAGTCAAGAATGTTGTAAGCCCGGCCTTTCTCCTCAAAGCAGCACACATTGTTCTCCCTCCTCCGTTTCATCCTCACAACAGCCCTGTGAGGTAGGCGAGCCTGGGAGAGAGAGCAGCTGGCCCAAGGTCACCCAGCAGGCCTCAGTCCAAAGTGGGGGTCTGAAGCAGGATCCCACAGAGCCCTGACCTCTCTGAACCCACCAGTTTGGTGTGGTGGTTAAGTGCAGGTGGACTCTAATCTGGGAGAACCGGGTCTGATTCCCCACTCCTCCTCCACGTGCACCTGGCTGGATGACCTTAGGCAAGCCGTAGTTCTGTCAGAGCTGTCCTTGAAAAAGAGCAGTTTGTGTCAGAGCTCTCTCAGCCTCACCCGCCTCACAGGGTGTCTGTCTGTTGTGGGGAGGGGAAAGGAAAGGAGATTGTAAGCCACTCTGAGACTCCGAGAGAAGGGTGGGGTATAAAACCAATTTCTTCTTCTTCTTCTTCTTCTTCTTCTTCTTCTTCTTCTTCTTCATCTTCATCATCATCATCATCATCTTCATCATCTTCATCATCTTCATCATCTTCATCTTCTTCTTCATCTTCATCTTCATCTTCTTCTTCTTCTTCCAACCGTGTAGGGTTTTCAAGGCAAGAGATGAACAGAGGTAGGCAAGGTCCCTCCCAACTCTAACATTCTATGATCGGGAGCCAGTTGGGTGTGGTGGTTAAATGTACAGACTCTAACCTGGGAGAACCGGGTTTGATTCCCCACTCCTCCTCCACTCGCACCTGGCTGGATGACCTTGGGCAGGCCTTAGTTCTGTCAGAGCTGTCCTGGAAAAAAAGAGCAGTTTCTGTCAAGGGCTCTCTCAGCCCCACCTCCCTCCCAGGGTGCCTGTCTGTTGTGGGGAGGGGAAGGGAAAGGAGTTTGTCAGCCACTCTGAGACACCTTTGGGTAGTGAAGGACCGTGGGGTATAAACCCAATTCCTTCTTCTCTTCTAAGACAGACCAGTGACCATCAGCATTTCTCTAGATCTTTTTGGCAGATAATGTGTGCTACAGTCCTACTCTCATTTCTTCACACCATAACCAAGGGTCCCTCTAAGCTGTGGAGTCTCGTGAGCAAAGATTCTCCTTTGTGAGCCGCTGGCGTTAAAGTTGTGAGTGAGCGATTTGGCTGCTGCATAAATGAGTTTGCTCTGGAGCCCCATCCTTCCTGAGCGAAGACAAAAATGTGTGAGCTGGCGGAGGCTACAACACTGTGAGCTGGCTCACACTAACCCAGCTTAGAAGGAACACTGACCATAACCCTCTGAGGGAGGCCAAGCTGTGAGGGGGCGACCAGCCCTTGGAGCCTTTAGCCTACGTTCCCACACGGATACCCCTTCTGCCAGCTTTCCTGCCAGCTTACTTCCTCTGTGCACCCTCCCGTGCACCCTCCCATGCACCCCCCCCCCCAGTGACTTCCCTCTCCCTTTCTGCCTGCCCACACTGAAGGAAGACATTCAGCCTGGGGAGGGAGGGGGGTGATTATTGATGGTGGTGTGGGGAGAACCCCTGGCTGGTGCCTGCCTGCACGTGACATGTGCCCCCTTACTTAGCTGGGGCTCCTCTGACCCAGTTTCCCCTCCCTGTCATGAGGGAAGTTCTGCAGGTCCTGATACAGGAACCCCAGGTTTCCAAATGAAGACCGGCTGGCGCTTGCCACCAATACTCCCTCTCAGCTGTGGAGTCCTGTGAGCCAAAATTCTACCTTGTGAGCTCCTGGCATTAAAGATGTGGGCGAGCGATCTGGGTGCTGCATCGATTCATTTGCTCTTCTGAAGCCCTCCTTCCTGAGCTAAGACAAAAACGTGTGAGCCGGAGGATAAAAAACCGGGAGCTAGCTCACACTCACTCAGAGGGAACACTATTCGCCACCCCGTCCTGCTCCCCCTCGAGTCTCCGGAGTGGAGGGATGTGCCTTTCCTCGGGCCACCAATAAAATTCACACCAACCCTTCTGTGTGATTAAGGCCTTGGGTTCTCCTCCGGGGTTCGTGGGCTCAGGCTCCACACTCGAGTTCAGCAACTCAGGCAAAGTTTTTTATTACAAAAAAAAAAAAAAGACACAACGTTAGTATAACAGTAGATAATAGAAGCAAAAAAAAAAGTTGGCAAAATTCTAGAACTTGTCAAGATACAACAAGTCACTAAACTCAGCTCGCACTCGCTCATACAGTGTTGTCATGCAAACCCGGAGGCAAGGGGAATGTCCCGCCAAAAATAACGGACGTTAAAAAGATCCCTCCCCCACACACTTTAACCCTGGCGGGAACATGCTAACAAGCTGAAAAAACTTTTCTCCAGTCCGGCTGTTAATTAAGACAGTTCAGCCGAGGGGCTCTTAGTGAGATGAAAACTGGGCCGTTCCTGCAACGACTCCGTTCTTCAGGGCTTCTTTACACCTTATTTATTTATTTATTTATTTATTTATTTATACTTATATTTATACCCCGCCCACCCTGTAAACAGGCTCTGGGTGGCTTACAAAAGACGGCAAAATATGCTGATTTCACATAAAACGTTGTTGTTGTTGTTGAGTCGCACAGTCTTTGTGACCCCATGGACCAGCTCCCACCAGGCCTTCCGGTCTTCCGCCGTCCTCTGAAGTTGGCTCAATTTCATGTTCGTTGCATCTATGACACTGTCTAGCCATCTCATCCTTTGCCGTCCCCGTCTTCTTTGACCTTCAATCTTTCCCAGCATCAGGGTCTTCTCCAGTGAGTGCTCCCTTCTCATTTGGTGGCCAAAGTATTTGAGCTTCAGTTTCATTATCTGGCCTTCCAGGGAACAGTCAGGGTTGATTTCTTTGAGGATTGACTGATTTGTTCTTCTTGCAGTCCAAGGGACTCTCAAGAGTCTTCTCCAGCACCATAGTTCAAAAGAATCTATTCTTCGGCGCTCGGCCTTCCTTATAGTCCAGCTCTCGCAGCCATACATGACTACTGGGAATACCATTGCTTTGACCATGCGGACTTTTGTTGGCAGGGTGATGTCTCTACTTTTTATCATGCTGTTTAGGTTCGCCATCGCTTTCCTCCCAAGGAGCAGGCGTCTTTTAATTTCATGGCTGCAGTCACAGTCTGCGGTGATCTGGGATCCCAGGAACGTGAAGTCTGTCACTACTTCCACGACTTCCCCTTCTATTTGCCAAGGAGTGATGGGGCCGGATGCCATGATCTTAGTTTTTTTGATGTTGAGCTTCAAGCCCACTTTTGCGCTCTCCTCTTTTACTCTGAGCAAGAGGCTCTTTAGATCCTTTTCACTTTCAGCCATTAGAGTGGTATCATCTGCATATCTGAGGTTGTTGATCTTTTCCCCAGCAATCTTAATTCCCGCTTGTGATTCATCCAGGCCAGCATTTCGCATGATGTACTCTGCATATATATTAAATAAGCAAGGTGACAGTATACATCCTTGTCGTACTCCTTTTCCTATGCTGAACCAATCAGTTGTTCCGTATCCGGTTCTAACTGTCGCTTCTTGGCCCTTATACAGGTTTCTCAAGAGACATGTGAGGTGGTCTGGTACTCCCATCTCTTTAAGGACCTGCCATAGTTTGTTGTGATCCACACAGTCAAAGGCTTTAGCATAGTCAATGAAGCAGAAGTAGATATTTTTCTGGTACTCTCTTGCTTTCTCCATAATCCAGCGAATGTTGGCAATATGATCTCTCGTTCCTCTACCTCTTCGAAACCCAGCTTGTACTTCTGGTAGTTCTCTATCCACGTACTGTTGAAGCCTAGCTTGTAGGATCTTGAGCATGACCTTGCTAGCGTGTGATATGAGTGCAATTGTGCGATAGTTTGAACATTCCTTGGCATTGCCCTTCTTTGGGATTGGAATGTATACTGATCTTTTCCAATCCTGTGGCCACTGTTGCGTTTTCCAAATTTGCTGGCAAATGGAGTGCAGAACTTTAACAGCATCCTCTTCTAAGACTTTGAATAGCTCAGCTGGGATACCATCACCTCCACTAGCTTTGTTGTTAGTAATGCTTTCTAAGGCCCATTTAACTTCACATTCCAGGATGTCTGGCTCGAGGTCAGTGATTATACCGTCGTGGTTGTCAAGGACATCGAGGTCTTTCTTGTATAGTTCTTCTGTGTATTCTTGCCATCTTTTCCTAATCTCTTCTGCTTCTGTTAGGTCCCTACCGTTTTTGTCCTTTATCATGGCCAGCTTTGCATGGAACGCTCCCTTGATTTCTCCAATTTTCTTGAAGAGATCTCTAGTCCTTCCCATTCTATTGTTTTCTTCTATTACTTTGCACTGTTCATTCAGGAAGGCCTCCTTATCTCTCCTTGCTGTTCTCTGGAAATCTGCGTTCAGTTGGGTAAATCTTTCCTTTTCGCCTTTGCCTTTCGCTTTCCTTCTTTCCTCTGCTATTTGTAAAGCCTCATCAGAAAGCCATTTTGCTTTCTTGCATTTCTTTTTCTTTGGTATGGTGGTGATTGCTGCCTCCTGTACGATGTCACGAACCTCTGTCCATAGTTCTTCAGGCACTCTATCTATCAAATTCAGACCCTTGAATCTATTCTTCACCTCTACTGTATATTCATCAGGGATGCGATCTAGGTCAAACCTGAATGGCCTAGTGGTTTTCCCAATTTTCTTCAGTTTAAGTCTGAATTTTGCAATGAGTAGCTCATGATCTGAACCACAGTCAGCTGCAGGTCTTGTTTTTACTGACTGGATAGAGCTTCTCCATCTTTGACTGCAAATTATATAGTCAATCTGATTTGGGTGTTGCCCATCCGGTGATGTCCATGTGTCGAGTCGCCTCTTAGGTTGTTGGAAAAGGGTGTTCGCTATGACCCGTGTGCTCTCTTGACAAAACTCTGTTAACCTTTGCCCTGCTTCATTTTGCTTTCCAAGGTCAAACTTGTCTGTTATTCCAGTTACCTTTTGACTTCCTACTTTAGCATTCCAGTCCCCTATGATGATGAGGACATCATTTTTTGGTGTTAGTTCTAGGAGGTGTTGTAGGTCTTCATAGAACCGGTCCACTTCAGCCTCATAAAACATTAAAATAGCATAAAACATACTTAATATATCAATATATCAAAAATAAACATTAAAGTGCTCGCAATATTAAATATATTAAAGTGGATGGCGTGTGTTTTAATTCTGGTCATCTTCTCATCTTCAAGCCAGTCCTATGGGCCAGATGTTACATGGCACCGTCGGTAGTGGGCCAGTCCAATATTCCCGATGTACACATGGGATCGTGGGTGGTAACAGTGGTGGCAGCTCCTATTTGAAAGCCTGGCGGAAGAGCTCCGTCTTGCAGGCCCCTCCTAAAAGTCACCCCTTGTAGATGGACGAAGTAGCCCCTGTGCACAACTGTTGCCGGGTAGAGTCTGGGGGGGAAGGTGGTCCGGGCAGCCTTTAGTGTGACCCCCCCCTCTGGCCTCTCTAGGGGACAACATCCAGACAGCCATCACGGTCGCCAGAGATGCTGGCATGATTCTGCAGGACAGCCGAGTGATTCTGGTGGAGGCCAGCGCCCCCCAGGCGGAGCACCCCTCCGCATCCATCACCTGGAAGCTCCTGGAGGACAGCCGGACGGGCCAGCGCAGAGGACCAAAGGTGAGCTTCCTGGGGGGGCTGTGGCAGGACGTCGAGCCCCCTGGCCTGGGCGGTTGGGTGGAGGCGGCAGAGTCCTTCCAAAAATGAGGGCAACGGAGGGAGTCATGCCAGAGGCCAGGTCCCGGCATGAGGCTCAGCCCTCAGCTGCCTACACCTGACTCTCCACACGTGGTACAGATGACCCCGCCCCCAGCTGCCCTCTGAGCCTCTGGACGCAGGCAGCTGCCCTTTGCCCCGTGGCCCGACTCCTCCCCTCGGACTGGCAGTGGCTCTCCGGGCCCTCAGGCAGAGAAGGCTCTTCCCCAGCTCCTGCTGCCTTTCTGTGGCCCTTCGACCTGGAGAGGGAACAAGTTCATCCGGGGACTTCCTGCCTACGCGGGGCGCCTCCTGTCCCACTGAGCCACGCCCCCACCCCACCCCACCCCTAATTCACACCCTCCCTTCGTGAAGAGGACGTTCATACCCTCCTTTTGTGATGTTCGAGATTAACATAAGAACATGAGAGACGCCAATGCTGGATCAGGCCAATGGCCCATCCAGTCCAACACTCTGTGTCACACAGTGGCCAGAAATACCAGGTGCCCTCAGGAGGTCCACCAGTGGGGCCAGGACACTAGAAACCCCCTCCCACTTTTGCCCCCGCCCCCAAGCACCAAGAAGACAGAGTATCACTTGCCCCAGACATAAGAACAGAAGAGACGCCCATGTTGGATCAGGCCAGTGGCCCCTCCAGTCCAACACTCTGTGTCACACAGTGGCCAAAAACACCAGGTGCCCTCAGGAGGTCCAGCAGTGGGGCCAGGACACTAAATTCAAATCCAGGAGCTCCTTAAAGACCAGCAGGATTCCCAGGTTCAAAGATACCAAGGGGCTCCGACTCCTGAAAGCTTCCACCCAGGAAGCTGTGTTGGTGTCTAAGGTGCTCCTGAACTCGAACTGAACTTCTCCTGCAGACTGACATGCCTGCTCACCTGACTTTCGGGATGTGATGCCTCAACATGGTTTTTGTTGAGGAGCCCCCTGGTTGATGGTCTGGACTCCTGGGGGTTTATTTTTGTATTTCCTTTTCGAATGCGGCTTGGCTTGCTTGCTTGAGAGACTGCTTGCTGCTCGTGTTCTGGATTCTGTGGGTGTACTGTGGGCCTGGCTTCACAGAAAGGGGGGGGTGCCCTCCTTCCCTCTCACTCTTTCGCAGGACCTCCCCACCGCCTCGGGAGGAGGGAGCAGCCAGTTCCATTTCTGCATGACCGGGGGCTCTTATGAGGTCATCACGCAGTTCTTCGGACATTTACTCCCAAAGGTGAGTTTGGGGTGCTGGAGGAGCAAATGGACCGGAGCCGCCTTGCTGCCTGTTTTGCAGAAGGATGGTCTGGCCTGGCGGGTCCCGGGAGCAAACTCTGCTGGGAGAAACTGGCTCAGCCAGGCTATCCACCCCCCCCGACTCTCTCTGGAGCGAGCTGCTGGTGTGTCCCTGACAGCCCCTTCTGCCCACAGCTCCTCCTGAACGGGACCGTCTTTGCCAGAATGTCTCCTGCTCAGAAAGCCAGCCTGGTGGAAGAGTTCCAGAGGATGGAGTGAGTGTGCCTCTCTGCGTGTGTGGTTGTGCGTGCGTGTGTTAGTGCAAGTGCCTGTCCACACAGATCCAAGCTGCCCGGCCAGAGAGACAGCCGTCATGGGCACGACCGCGAGGAAGGAACCGCTCACACTGTGAAAGGTTGTCTCCGGGAAACTAAAAATACGTCTGAGCTCAGGGATGGGCTGTGAAGAACCCTCGCCCTGTTTATGGCTCTAGCATGCCACCTCTAAGGTTATCGCCCTGACCCGGGCCACTCCCAGAGACCTACAGGGTATGAATTTACATTCTCCCAGGGTCGTTCCTATCAGTGCACTGAGAGATATTTTAACAGGAGGCTCGTTAGAGACTCCGTCTTGTCTTTTGGTAGCGATAAGGATTGGTGACTACTCCAATTAAAACAAACAGGTTTATTACAAACAAATACTTAACAACATACAAGTTAGGGAGAAAGCTACAGTGAGCGAGACACAAACAAACAAACAAACAAACAGAAAACGAGTCTAACTCAGCTATTACTTATCCCTTGGGCGTTGCCCAAAGCAGCTGTGCAGACAAACTGGTCTGGGGCTGAACATCAAAGTTCTTTCCTCCGGCTGACACAGTCCTGGAACGTGGTCTCCGGGCGTCTGACCTTCACCAGTCTCCAGTAGTTAAGAGTACTCCAGCAAAGTTCTTGGCTCCGTCTCTAACCCGAGACAGCTCTCATCTTGGCCTTTTTTGGCCTGGCTTGCCTTCTAATTTATGGCAGACGAGCTGTCAATTCCCCCTTACGTCACAGAGGCAAGCACGTGGCTGACTTAGATCTGCTCCTGTCATAGATCTTGTCGAGTCATGCTAACATTCTGACAGTTCCCAGCTGCAAGCAGTTTCCCTAGCCGGTAATTGGTATTAGGTGCAAGGGCTAAACGTGCTAACTAGCTAATTCTCATAGACAAACACAATGCCGACTGGTCCTGCAAAGACTTTAGGAATTTAAAGGGACCAATGTCTTGACATGGGCTCCTTTCCCTGCCCCATGGTGACCCCCCCCCCACAGGGCCTACTGGGGTGCTGGCAAGCCAAAGGGGCGTGGGGCGAGTGTTGTACTTGGCCGGCACACCACCTTTTGGGGCGTGGGAGGGATGGGACTGAACTCAGCCTGCCTTAGAAGAGTCATGGTGAAACTTCATTGGTGTTACTTTCGGCGCAAGTGCTGAGGAGCCAGACTTGGGTGGCTGGAAGTAATCCCTGAGTGTCTAAAAGGTGCTTTGTGAGTCTGTGTGGGTGTCTGGGGGGGGGTTGTCATTGTGGGGCAGGAGGGTCCCTGGTGGGAGAGTTTGCACTCACAGAATCACAGAGAGTGGGAAAGGGCTGCACAGAGACCACCTAGTCCAGCCCTCTGCCCAATGCAGGACCAGCCTAGAGCATCCCTGACAGATATTCCTCCAGCCCCTTCTTAAAAGCTGGCAGTGAAGGGGAGCTCGCCACCCCTCTAGGCAACTGATTCCACCTTTGAATCACCCTGACCGTGAAAAAGGTATTCCGTAGCATCCAGCGGATACTTTTCTGCCTGCAATTTAAACCTGTTGCTTCGGGTCCTCTCCTCCGCTGCCGACTGGAACAGCTCCTTGCCCTCCTCCAAATGACAGCCTTTCAGATATTTAAAGAGAGCAGTCATGTCCCCCCTCAGTCTCCTCTTCTCCAAACTCAACATTCCCAAGTAGTCCCTCGGCCTTTCCTCGCAGGGCTCAGTCTCCAGACCCCTGATCATCCTCGTCGCTCTCTTCTGCAGCCTCTCGGTTTTGCCCACATCAAGACTTTCCCTCTCAGAACTGCCACACTCCTGACTCTCTTTTGAAGGGTGGGCTCTGTTCAAAAGGGGGAGTCCTCCTCAGGGCCCTTCTGCCCCCCCCCAAGGCTTTTCCTGATTGCCACCGCTCCTCCCCCCCCCCGTTGTGCCCCTGCTTCTGGGGCGGAGCAGGCAGAGAGCGGAACCATCCCCCGGCCTGATGCCGGGGCTTGCCAGGGCCTGCAACCCACTTTTGAAATGTAGCTGTGGGCCGGCCAGCCTTTCTCCTGTGGTTGCCCCGGATGGTGCTGCTCTGCTAAGGGCCAAAAACAGACAATGCGTTTTGTAAGGGGTTCAGGTCCGGGTCCCTCACCTCAGTCACGTGGCGGCAGAAGAGAACTTGCTTTTAAAGCCTGGAGCAGCGGCATTGGGGGAGTTTGGTGTAGTGGTTAAGTGTGCGGACTCTAATCTGGGAGAACCGGGTTTGATTCCCCACTCCTCCACTTGCACCTGCTGATGTGACCTTGGGTCAGTCACAAGCTCTGGCACAGCTGTCCTTGAAAAAGAGCCGTTTCTGTCAGAGTTCTCTCAGCCCCACCCACCTTACAGGGTGTCTGTTGTGGGGAGGGGAAGGGAAAGGGAAAGGGGTTTGTAAGCTGCTCTGAGACTCTGAGTGAAGGGTGGGGTAGAAATCCAATCTCCTCCTCCTTAGCTGAAAGGTGCCAGTGGGGGAGAGCTGCAGGTGCTCTGGATGCTGTATGTGAAGCTCCAGTTTTATGCAAAGGGCTCTCCACTGAGTCCGTTTGGGCAGAGGAACAAGGCGTGAGGCCCCCCCCATCCCCATACGCCGTGGCCCTTAAGTCAGATCTGCTGTTCCCTGCTGTGCTGCGTGACTGAGGTGAAAGCCAGTTGGGCCGGGGGAACCCAAACGTAACCCATTCAAAAATACGTTGTGTGCTTTGGCCTGGATGTTGTGGTGAGAGTGCTGGCCCAGGGTGCCTGGGTTCGAATTCCCACCCTGCCATGGAAGCTGTCTGGGAGCCCAGAGGCCAGTCATCACGCTCTCTCCGGCTGGCCTACCCCATAGGGTTGCTGTGAGAATCCAATGGGAGAGGAGGAGGGGACTGGGTGTGCCCGTTCAGAGGAAGGGAAGGATAAGAATTTTAAAAGGGGATGGGTGGGAACCCTGGCTGGCACAGAGCCATGGCTAGCGTGAACTCACCGGTGTGCTTTTGCTTTCCGCTTCCAGTTACTTTGTGGGCATGTGCGGAGACGGCGCCAATGACTGCGGGGTGAGTCGTGTTTTAAAAGGGCTGGTTCCGGAGGAGGCAAGACTCTTGCAAAAGCAGGGCGCTCAGCTCGGCTGTGCGTTGCACACACTGGGCATTCTCTGCGGAGGCACCGCCGTGTTTGAAGCGGGGGCGGGGGTGGGGGGGAGAATGAGCAGAGGGCCAGGTTTTGGTTCACATTGGCTGCTGTATCATAGAATCATAGAAAGTTAGAGTTGGAAGGGACCTTGCAGGTCATCTAGTCCAACCCCCTGCACTCTGCAGGAGCAGAGCCGAAAGATAGCCCTACATACCTACAACATACCCGAAAGAGGGTCGTCCAGCCTCCGCTTGAAAACGTCCAGCGAAGGAGCATCCACCACCTCCCGAGGCAGACTGTTCCACTGCTCAACCACTCTGACAGTCAGGAAGTGTCTCCTGAAGAGTGACTCCATCCTGAGTTCCCTGGGTGGCTCACCGCAGATGAGACGTTTGCTGATATTGGGGAGAGGGTTGTGGGTGGGGCCTGCCCGGGGTTGCCAACCTCCAGAGGGGGCCTGGAGTTCTCCCAGGGTTACAGCTGATGTCCAGACAACAGAAGGGGAAATGGCACCTTTGGAGGGTGGAATCAAGCCCCCCGCTGAGCTCCCGGCCCTCCCCAGTCTCTCCACCCTCTCCATCCAATATCCCCAAATCTCTGCAGACTTCCCAAGCTGGAGTTGGCAACCCTGCCACCTGCCTCTGGCAACAGGAGCAGCAACACCCCCCCCCCCCCGCAACCCCCCCCCCCCCCGTAACTTCCCTCCCACAAATCCCTGGCTGATTTCCACTCATTTCCCAGACATTCCGTTCCCCATGTTCTTTCTGTGCCCTCCAAGCCGGGTCCGTGGCCAGTGCCTCCCCCCCCTCCAGTCCAGTCAGGCTGTCTCCCCTCCCTCCTGACCAACCGGAGCATCTTCCCTAGCAGTTCGGGATGCCAACAGATCAGGGGGAGACCTGTTGGGCGTGGGACTCCGCCCCACCTCTGCTTTATGAACTGGCTGCTCAGATGGACGGCCGCAGCCAGGAGGACTCTTTGGCGTGGGCCCAACGTAACGGGATGCTTTGTCCCCAAATCTGGGCCTTCTCCCCCCTCCCACCTTCAAATGGCCACATTCCTCTTCGGGAGTCACACCATGCAGGGTTCCCAAGCTCCAGATGGAGCCTGGAGATCTCTTGGCCTGGCAGTTGATCTCCCGCTGACAGGGACTAGTCCCCCTGGAGGAAACAGCTGCTTTGGAGGGTGGGCTCCATCCATGGCATCGTACCCTGATGAGGTCCCTCCCCTCCCCAAACCCCATGACCCCCAGGCTCCACCCCCTGCACATCTCCAGGAATTGGCAACCCAGCGGCTGAGGCTGGCTGAGCGTTGTGGCAAAGCTGTGGGGGGGCAGAGTCCCCCGGAGGCGGGAAGAGAGCCTGTCTGCCTGTCTGCCTTGGGGGAGAAGCCTCTTGGGGGGGGGACAGGGCCGCTGCGGTGGAATTGCTTTTGCCCCCCACCCCACCCCCTGCGGCTCTGAGCGGAGGCTTGCCTGCCTGCCTTCCAGGCCCTGAAAGTGGCGCATGCGGGGATCTCCCTGTCGGAGCAGGAGGCCTCGGTGGCTTCGCCCTTCACCTCCAGGACCCCCAACGTGGAGTGTGTGCCTGAACTCATCAGGTGAGCCCCGGTGTGTGTGTTGCGGGGGACGCATGTCATGCACAGATGTCCGGAGGGAGGGGGGCCGGGCTGGGACTCCAGGGGGTCCTACTCATCTTCTGCAATTTTGAATGCGCTACGACTTGAACGCTGAGTATTCCAAATGGCAAGTCAGACTGGGGAGTCGTAAAGAATCCTGGCTTCTTTCCTTCGAATGGATCGGGAGCCACCCACCCACCCCAGACTCCCTCGCTGGGCGAGGGCTGGGAGTGTGAGGAAGAGGCCCCTGGAATGAGGAAAACAAGTCCAGGGGCCCCCTCAAGGCTAACAAGGGGAAGGACCGTAGCTCAGAGGCTGGGCACCTGCTTGGCATGCAGGAGGTCCCTGGTTCAATCTTGGGCGGCGTCTCTCTTTGAAAGGCCCAGACTGTAAGTAATGGGAGAGAGCTCTGCTGGAGTCTCCAGCAGAGCTCTCTCCCATTACTTACAGTCTGGGCCTTTTAAAGAGAGATGCCGCCGGGGATTGAACCTACTCATCACTGACCTTGCTGGACGAAGAGCCTGATTCAGTCGAAGGCAGCCTCAGATGTGTTCGACTTTATTTCCATGGGAGCTCTTAGGGGGCCAGCCACGCTTGCTTCCCCCTTCGGTGCTGATCTGTTCCTACTCTCTCCCCACTCTGTCCGTGTATATTTTTCTACCAGACTCTTGTCTGTATCCTGAGGGGGAGAAGGGGGGCAGGGAGGGGCACCTTTGCCCCCCCCCCCCATGCACATGCACTGTGGGGCACTTCTTGCCCACGGAAGTTCCAGGTTATTGTTGCTCCCAGCGATCTCCACGGGAGTGCAGTCAGGAAGGCAAAAGGTTTCCCTCTTCCCTGGCCCGCGAGTCCTTGGGATCAGACAGGATCGTATTTGGCCCTCCCCTTAAGGCTCCACCTTTTGGCAGCCATCTTTGGGCGGGAGGAGGGAGGCGGGAGGATGGTGGGAGGGGCACAGACCCCCCTGGCTCGGAAGGTGTGGGCAGGGGGGTGGGGTGAGGACTCCGGGGCTCTCAGCCATCGCTGCCCTGTGCAGAGGAGAGGCTTCCCTTCCCCTCCGTGGCTGGGCACCAGAGCCTCCTGCCAGAGCGCTGGGCACCTCTCCGGTCCCAAATGTTAAGCTTTAATTAATAATTTATTAGTAATATTAATGTTAGCACGAGAGCCAGTTTGGTGTCGTGGCTAAGTGCGTGGACTCTAACCTGGGAGAACCGGGTTTGATTCCCCACTCCTCCACAATCAGCTGCTGGTGTGACCTTGGGTCAGTCACAAGTTCTCGCAGAGCTGATCTCTCAAGGGCAGTTCTCTCTCAGAGCTCTCTCAGCCCCACCCACCTCACAGGAGGGTGTCTGTCTGTTGTGGGGAGGGGAAGGGAAAGGAGTTTGCGAGCCGCTCTGAGACTCTGAGTGAAGGGCACGGGGTATAAATCCAATCTCCTCCTCCTCCTCTCCTTTTGATGTTGGGATGTTTTATATGGTTTTATGATTATTTAAACTGTTTACTTGTGTGTTTTTGTGCTTTGCTGTAAGCTGCCCTGAGCTGCCCTTGGCTGGGAGGGCGGGATATAACTCTGATAATAAATAAATAAGTATAAATAAATAAAACTGCAGCCGTGGCTTGAGAAGCCCCCTCCGTTTTTGAGCAAAGCTGCTCATGAAAATGTCCCCCTCCTGCCTCTGTTGGCACGTTGCGGCATATGTGCAGGAGAAACTAAAGTCCCCCCCCCATGCCGCCTGTTTCCCCGAACCTTCCAGAGGGGCCCAATTCACCAGTCTCCTGCTCCTCTTCCCCGTGCAGGCAAGGCCGGGCGGCCCTGGTGACCTCCTTCTGCATGTTCAAGTACATGGCCCTCTACAGCATCATCCAGTACCTGGGAGTCCTGCTACTCTACTGGGTAAGCCGACCCGTCCCGGGGAGCTGGGGATTCGGTTGCTCAGGGGTCTGCAGGGCGAAGGAGGGGGCTGGGCTCTGCCCTCAGGCAGGCGGGCTGCCAAGGTCCTGTTGCTACTGCACCCGCTGTCCACGGGCCAAGCAGGAGCCTCTCCTGCCACTTGGTGGTCTCTCCCCCCCCCAGCACCTCCCCTGCTCGCTCTGTCCCAGGCTTTGCAAGTGCCTCCCCAGACCCAGCCACCGGGCCCCTCAACGACGCGGTTCCTGTGCGGACACACCCACACCCACACCCACACACAAAAACACGGGGTCCAGTGAGAGGCTGTTTCCGGCATGCCTTCCGCCCAGGCCGAGCATGCCACGCCCTCCCCCCCTCCCTCTCTTTCAGCAACTCAACTCCTTTGGGAACTACCAGTTTCTGTTCCAGGACCTGGCCATCACCACCCTCATTGGAATGACCAGTAAGTGGCTCTAGGCTCTCTGGGGCACGGAAGGCGAGGAGGTGGCGGGTGAGTGCGTGGGTGGGACTCTCCGTCTCAGAGATGCCAGGAGGAGGAGAAGGAGGCCTGGCGGTCTGAGGGATCCGGGAGGTGTAAGCCAGTCCAGTCCCAGGGGCATGGCCGCCGTTCCCTCTTCAGCCTGGCAGTCGAGACCCAGTCTTTAGAATCGTAGCATGTTAGAGTTGGAACTGGGACCTTGCAGGTCATCTAGCCCAACCCCTTGCACTCTGCAGGAGCACAGCCAACAGAGAGCCCTACAGCAGACCCGAAAGAGGGTCGTCCAGCCTCCTCTGCTTGGAAACGTTTAATCTCAGAGTTGGAAGGGACCACTGGGGTCATCTAGTCCAACCCCCCTGCCAATTCTGGCTCGACAGCCCTAATATCCCCAACAAGGAGGTCTCCAGTTGCTACGTAAAAACCTCCAACGACGGAGAATCATCCACCTCCCAAGGGACACTGTTCTGGGGTTGAACAGACCTCGCCGGCAGGAATGTCTGCCCCAGAACTAGAACAGACCTCCTTTGCTGTTGTTTATATGCATTAGTCCCTTAACCCAAAGCTGAAGAGGCATTAGTCTGAGTACACCAGCTCCTTGTCACTCCACCCAGAACAGAACATGCAGAAATTTGAAGGGAGAGCTGTGCATGGATACAAAAACCTATAAGGGCCAATGCCTCTCTTGGAGGCAGCCAAAGGGGCTTCATTTTGGCATCACACAGGCCTTGTTCTCACAGAGATGGGACATTACATGCAACCGATGCTCCCTCTAAGCTGTGCAGTCTTGTGAGCAAAAATCCTACTTTGTGAGCTACTGGCATTAAAGCTGTGAGCGTGCAATTTGGCTGCTGCATCAATTTGTTTGCTCCAGAGCCCTCCTTCTCCAGCTAAGACAAAAATGGGTGAGCCAGGGGCTAAAAATTGTGAGCTAGCTCACACTAACTAAGCTTAGAGGGAACACTGCTGCCTGCAATTGGGCTGCACCCAAACGTGTCCAAATGTTTCTCTTCCCACATAAATGCCTTGTGCATGGAAAACCAGCCTGTGGCTAGACAGCTGCTCCTTGACTGCTAGCTTTTTGTCTGAGAGCCAGTTTGGCGTAGTGGTTAAGTGCGCGGACTATAATCTGGGAGAACCGGGCTTGATTCCCCACTCCTCCACTTGCACCTGGCTGGATGACCTTGGGCAAGCCATAGTTCTGACAAGAGCTGTTCTTGAAAAAGAGCCGTTTCTGTCAAGAGCTCTCTCAGCCCCACCTACATCACTGGGTGTCTGTTGTGGAGAGGGGGAGGGAAAGGAGTTTGTAAGCCGCTCTGAGACTCTGAGTGAAGGGCGGGGTATAAATTCAATCTCCTCCTCCTCCTCTTCTTCTCCTCCTCCTTCTTCTCCTTCTCCTCCTCCAATCTCTTCTTCTTCTTCTCCAGTTTGGTGTAGTGGTTAAGTGCGTGGACTCTAATCTGGGAGAACCGAGTTTGATTCCCCACTCCTCCACTTGCACCTGGCTGGATGACCCTGGGCAAGCCGTAGTTCTGACAAGAGCAGTTCTTGAAAAAGAGCCGTTTCTTGAAAAAGAGCTCTCTCAGCCCCGCCTACCTCCCAGGGTGTCTGTTGTGGGGAGGGGAAGGGAAAAGGAGTTTGTAAGCTGCTCTGAGACTCTGAGTGAAGGGCAGGGTGTAAATCCAATCTCCTCCTTCTCTTCTTCTCCTCCTCCTCCTTCTTCTCCTTCTCCAATCTCTTCTTCTTCTTCTCCAGTTTGGTGTAGTGGTTAAGTGTGCGGACTCTAATCTAGGAGAGCCGGGTTTGATTCCCCACTCCTCCTCCACTTGCACCTGGCTAGATGACCTTGGGCAAGCTGTAGTTCTGATAAGAGCTGTCCTAGAAAAAGAGCAGTTTCTGTCAAGAGCTCTTTCAGCCCCACCCACCTCAGAGGGTGCCTGTTGTGGGGAGGGGAAGGGAGAGGAGTTTGTAAGCCCCTCTGAGACACCTTTGGGTAGTGAAGGGCCATGGGGTATAAATCCAATCTCTTTTTCTTCTGGTGGGAACTTTTGGGGTAGGGGGACAGCCAGTGCCAGGAGGGCCCCCCCCCCCCGTCAGGCCAAAGTGGTCCAGCCGGAGCACAGGCTGACAACCTCCGTGCCAGCTGGGCCGCGTAGGCCTGCCGCGGTTCCTGCCTGCTGTGCCCTGCTGGGTGCCCAGCGGAGACGCAGCCCTGCCGGCTTCTCTTCGCAGTGAGCCTGAACGGCGCCTCCCGCAAGCTGGTCCCCTTCCGCCCCGCGGCGCGTCTCATCTCCCCGCCCTTGCTGCTGTCCGTGGTCCTGAACATCCTCTTCAGCCTGGCCCTGGAGGTCTGCGGCTTCGTGCTGGTGCAGCAGCAGCTGTGGTACTCCCCCGGCGACATGTTCAGGTGAGCGGCCCACCCCACCCCACCCCACCCCACCCGGGCCTTATCCATCGGGTGGGATCCGGCCACGTCTTGGGCCCGCAGCACCTTTCCTTCTCCTCTTTCACAAAGTCTCCTGGGGGGGGGGGGTGTTCCCTCTGGGTCCTCCTCCCAACTCTCTGCGTCAGGCAGGCCCGTTTCCTCTGGTGCTCCCCGGAGGAGGGAGAGACTCCACGCCTTCTCACCTCCCCGGCAAGCTCTGTCCTGCGGGAGACACCCCGCCTGCTCCTTGCTTGCTGCCCACCCCCAGTGGCTTGGCGTGTGGAGGGAAATGGGGGGGAGGCTGCCTGTGAGTAAGGGGGGGGGGAGAGGGGAAACTGATTTTGACCCTCCAGACTCCCCACTTCTCTGCCTTGTTCATCCCTGCCTGAGAGACAAGATGTGGAGCAACAGATTTAGTTGACTGGAATGTAGATTTGAGGGAAAAGATGTGGGGAAGTGCCCTCGTGGTCCAGTCAGAGCGGCAGCAGAATGAGTGCGGTTGTAGCGTTCCCGCTTTTCTGCCCGGTGGTGTCCGCTGGCTCGAGCTGCTTTTTAAATGACTTGGACATCTTTGTGAAGAACAGGTCCAACAACTGCTATTAAGGTGGACCCTCCATGGGCAGGGGCAGTGTACCTAAAGGAGCAGATGCTGGGGGCAAGCGCCGGGGAGGGGGACGGTTCTCACACCAATTTGGGGTAGTGGTTAAGTGCGCGGACTCTAATCTGGGAGAACCGAGTTTGATTCCCCACTCCTCCACTTGCAGCTGCTGGATGACCTTGGGCAAGCCATAGTTCTGTCAGAGTTGTTCTTGAAAAAGAGCAGTTTCTGTCAGAGCTCTCTCAGCCCCACCTGCCTCCCAGGGTGTCTGTTGTGGGGAGGGGAAGGGAAAGGAGTTTGTCAGCCGCTCTGAGACTCCTTTGGGTAGTGAAGGGCCATGGGGTATGAATCCAATCTCCTCCTCCTCCTCCTCCTCCTCCTCTTCTTCTTCTTCTCCGGCTTCCCAGCCTTCCCGAGGCATGTCGCTGGCCTCTGTGGGCAACGGGATGCTGGGCTCCAAGAACCTGGGCCTGATCCCACAGGGCCTTTGGGCGGGCTCTGTCCTGGGAGAAGTATTCCTGTGGGAGGCCTCTTGCCCTTGCTGCGGCCCCGAGCGGCAGCTGCAGCGGGGATCCCCGTGGGACTGAGCGCCAGCCCCGTTTCCTTTGCAGCGCCTGCTCTCCCGGGAACACGAGTCACACACGCACAAGAGCCTTCGCTGGTCTCTCCCTGGGAGCCAACGGGACAGGAAACAGCACCGGCGGGGGGGAAGAGGAGGAAGAGAGCTACCGGAGCTACGAGAACACCACCACCTGGCTCCTCAGCACCATCGACTGCCTCCTGGTCGCCATGGTCTTCTCCAAGGGGAAGCCCTTCCGACAGCCCACGCGGAGGAACTGTAAGGGGGCCGAGGCGGGTGGAGGAGGGGCCAGATCGGGGGCCATCTCCACCCGGCTCTTCAGCCGTTGGTGGCTCCCCCGTCCCCTGAGGACAGTGGTGGAACTCCCTTCCACTGGAGAGAAACAAGGCCACCTGTTCAGGTCCTCTTTTTTTGGCAACAGCCTTTGGGCCCCGGTGTTTGAGTTTGCTGAGTGGGGGGGGGGTTAACAGTACATCCCCTGTGGTCTGCTCTCATCTGGAGAGGTCCCTCTAAGCTCTTGCCGTGGGAGGTGGTCAGGGCGGGGGCAGAGCACTTGGCCGGCCTGCTGGGAGCACTTAGAGGAAGGCGGGGCCTGGTGAAAGCCGGGGAGCAAACTCAAGTAGCCCCCCCCCATCCCCAGGCAATGCTCCTTCTAAGCTGTGGAGTCTTGTGAGCAAAAATTCTACTTTGTTAGCTGCTGGCATGAAAACTGTGAGCAAGCGATCTGGCTACTGCAAAAACCAGTTTGCTCTGGAGCCCGTCCTTCCTGAGCTAATATGAAAATGTGTGAGCCAGAAGCTAAAAAACTGCGAGCCAGCTCACACTTACTCAGCTTAGAGGGAGCACTACCCCCAGGGTGAACCTCTTTTTTTTTTTTGTAGTTATTACACATAATCAAAGATTAACAAAACACAATAACCATCTCTCCAAAGATAGCTGCAAAAGAATAAGAACAAAAAAGCTGGGTAAGCAAAGGAAAAAACAAACCGAAACGTTCACAGGATTATCACCATCTGTTTGGTTTTGCGACTTCGACAAGACGTCGCAGCTGCTCCGCCCCTTTGGTTCCTTCATTTGTCAGCTGGCTTGTTTCTAAAGATCCCCAGTAGCGAGTGGGGGACGAACCGTGGTTGTGTGTGCCGTGTTCCCTCTAAGCTGAGTTAGTGTGAGCCAGCTCACAGTGTTTCAGCCTCCGGCTCACATTTTGTCTTAGCTCAGGAAGGGTGGCTCCAGAGGAAACTGATTTATGCAGCAGCCAAACTGCTCGCTCACAGCTTTGATACCAGTGGCTCACAAAGTAGAAATTTTGCTCACAGGACTCCACAGCTTAGAGGGAGCACTGTTTGAGCAAAGGTAGATGTGGCTTCCAGGTGGGCTGAAGAGCATGCCAGGGCTGGCAGGCAGCTCTGAGAGCCAGTCTGGTGTAGTGGATAGGAGCATGGATTCTAATCTGGGAGAACCATGTTTGATCCCCCCACTCCTCCATATGCAGCTGCTGGTGTGACCTTGGGTCAGTCATAAATTCTTTCAGAGCTGTTCTCTCAAGGGCAGTCCTCGAGAGAGCTCTCTCAGCCCCACCTCCCTCACAGGGGGTGTCTGTTGTGGGGAAGGGCAGGGAAAGGAGTTTGTGAGCCGCTCTGAGACTCCCGAGTGAAGGGCGGGGTATGAATCCAATCTCCTCCTCCTCCTGAGCCTGGGGAGGGCGGGGAAGGACTTTGGGGAAGGACGTCAGTGGGGGGCCCTGCCACGGAGTCCATCCTCCCAAGCAGCTGCTCTCTGCCTTTCTTCCTCCTCCAGATGTGTTTGTCCTCACGTTGGTGGTGCAGCTGGCCGTCTGCCTCTTCTTGCTCTTTGCCAGCTTGGATGAGCTCTATGCCCGGATGGAGGTGAGTGGCACTCGGACTCCAGGAGGCGGGTCTTCCTCCCGTGGGACTCCGGAAGGGGCTGCTGGCCCTGGTGTGGCTCGAGGCTTCTCTCCCAAGGAGTCCGGCCTGAGGGAGGGGCTCAGTGTGCCCCAGGCTCCGTCCCCTAGGCAGGAAATGCGTGGGAGGGGGGATTCCAGCCCAGGGGTCAGCAGAGCCCCTCCCCATGGCCATCTCTGCAGTGAACTGGTCCCAGGAATGCTGCTTCCTTCGTGACGTGGCTTGGCTCACTCACCTGAGTTGTGCGACACATTTCTGGCGCCGTTCCTGCTGCTCTCTGATCGTGGCCTAGAGCTCAGCCTAGGATGGGTTTGGGATTGGTACGTTCCTTCTGGGATGAGTGAGTGTGAGCTAGCTCACAGTTCTTTAGCCTCCGGCTCGCACATTTTTGTCCTAACTCAGGAAGGAGGGCTCCAGAGCAAGCTAATTTGTGCAGCAGCCAGATCGCTCGCAGCTCACACCTTTAATGCTCAGTCACAGGGGAGAATTTTTGCTTACAAGGCTCCACAGCTTCGAGGGAGCCTTGGTAGCACCTCATGGGCTGGAAGTGGGAGCAGCTGTCTTTGAGCAATACACAAATGCATCATCTGAACCGGGAAGGAAAAGGTTCACCGATGTGGTTTCCCCAAAATCCAGTTGTCTCATGGACACCTCCCCCCCCCCACAAATCTCAGCAGCTAACATTTTAATTTTATCTTAACAGTGTTCCAGCTGAGAGAGCTCAGAATATCCTGGTGACTTTCGTTCAATTTGCCATTTACCGGGTGCTGCTCCCAGGGACAGCCCTTGGCAATCTGGTTGAGGCTTTCCTACAACCGCCCTATGAGGCGGGCCATTGCTGCTTCCGTTTTCAGACGTGAAGCCCTGAGGCAGTGTGACCCCCCTCAGGCAGGGGTCTGCCCAAGCCCTTCTCTGAGGTGGGATTTGAAGCCCTCCCGCTCCGCCGGCTGGGCGGATTCTCCCAGGGCAAAGGGTGGCCGGGGGACTCCAGCGGCGGTCCCCTCCTGGCACCTCGGCCCGGCCTTCTCACCAGCACGCGGTCCAGAGCTGGATATCCTGAAGCAGCAGAGGCCAGTCCTCCCAGAAGGCCCCTCGCCCGGAATGCCCCAGAAAAGGCCATGTGGCAGGCAGGCAGGCTTGCCAGCCCCCAGGTCATCTATCAAAATGAGAGCTCGCGGGAGGAGATCGTATCAATGTAAAAACACTCCGTGAATGAATTACGAACAAAAGCAGAAAGATTGTATTGTGCAAAACAATTCAAACCGTTTTAAACCTTTGTTAAATTTCAACAAACCCTTATATGTTCTTAAAGAGCTAGGGTCAAAAAGTACTTGATACAAAGGGAAAACTCTAAATGAAGTCCACAAATCCTTTGTATAAAGAACTTAAGGAGAACAAAGGTTCTACGTCTTGCAGGAGTAGAAGAAGAAGAAGAAGAAGAAGAGATTGGATTTATTCCCCTTGCCCTTCACTACCCAAGGGAGTCTCAGAGGGGCTTACAAACTCCTTTCCCTCCCCCTCCCCACAACAGACAGACACCCTGGGAGGCGGGCGGGGCTGAGAGAGCTCTGATAGAAACCGCTATTTTTCAAGGACACCTCTTGTCAGAACTACGGCTTGCCGAAGGCCATCTAGCCAGGTGCAAGTGGAGGAGGAGTGGGGAATCAAACCCAGTTCTCCCAGATTAGAGTCTGTGCACCTAACCACGACACCAAATTGGCTATACATGGCTGGCTTCACTGCCACGTTCATGTTCTGCTTCTTCAGATAGCTGATACTCTTTAGCTGTGAAAATATACTTCTATGTCACATCCACTATATTTTAACATATTTACTACATGCTATGGTGCTGGAGAAGACTCCTGAGAGCCCCTCCTTGAACTGCAAGGAGACTGAAGTAGTCAATCCCAAAGGAAATCAACCCTGACTGTTCCCTGGAAGGCCAGAGACTGAAGCTGAAGCCCAAAGACTTTGTCCACCCAATGAGAAGGGAGTACTCATGGGAGAAGAAGACCCTGATGCTGGGAAAGATTGAAGGTCAAAGAAGACGGGGACGTTAAAAGATGAGATGGTTGGACAGTGTCATCGACGCAATGAACATGAAATTGAGCCAACTTCAGAGGACGGCGGAAAACCAGAAGGCCTGGCGTGATCTGGTCCATGGGGTCGCGAAGAGTCGGACTCGACTGTGCGACTGAACAACAACAAATATGTTATAGTATAGTGGATGTGACATAGAGGTATATTTTCAGTTTCACAGCTGAAGTTTCACAAGATAATCTTTCTGATTTTGTTCGTAATTTGTTGACGGAGTGTCTTTACGTTGATACAGCCTCCAGGTCATGGCGGGAGATCTCCTGGGATTATAACCGGTCTCCCGGTTACAGGGATCAGTTTCCCTGGAGAAAATGGCTGCTTCGGAGGGTGGACTCTGTGGCATTGTGTCCCCCCCCAGTTCTCCCCCCCTCCCCAGACCCCACCCTCCCCACGCTCCACCCCACCCCCAAAATCTTCAGGAATTCCCCAGTCTGGAGGAGACATTTCAAAGTGGGTGGGTGGAAGGTCCCAGTCCCGGGCGCCCCTCACCCAGCTCCTTGTGCGCTCAGCCTAGACACCTTCACCGGCCCCCGTGCTCCGTCCTCCCACTCTGTGACCACCTTCCCCCTTCCCTTCCCCCAGCTGGTGTGCACCCCCCTGGCCTGGAGGATCGCCCTGCTGGTCATGCTGATGGTCACCTTCGTCGTCTCCTTCACTGTGGAGGTGAGTAGACACCGCCTCTTCCGTTTCCAGTCCCGGTGGGTGGAGGCGCTGGGTCTGCCTCCGAGGGGGGGGGGAGAGCAGCAGCAGGAGGGGACCCCTCCCAGGGGGGGCATCTCTCTGGTGCCCAAACTGGACAGGAGGACGGTGCCAGTTATGGGGATCAGCCAGGACAGAGTGGTTTTAGTATGATTCAGAACATTTTCATGCCACCTTCCAATCTGATCAGGGCCCGTGCGGCAGCGAACATTAAGACGTTTAAGCAATTAAAAGTACAGTTAAAAGTATAAGACAATTCAATGGCGAAGGATGTGGAGGGAGGGAGATGGACGGGTCGCCCTGGGGAGGGAGTCCCAGAGTCCTCGGCTGTCTCTGCCACCCGTGTCTGTTCAGGCCAGGGGGCTCCTCGCCCTCCGCAACAGGCCTCCCCGTCTGTTCCTTTGCCCGTGCGGATGTCTGGGCCCACGGCAGCCAGAGCCTGTTCCCGCCCCTTTCCTGGAACTGCCCTCGTCTGTCTCTGGCTGCTGGGTCCTGATGACTCCCAGGCGCTTCTTTGCCTCTGTGATCTAACAGGGTCAAGCTAACAAATAAATTCTTCTAAAAACACAAACATTTATTATGGTGTACACATAAATAAAACATAAGGTAAAGGTAAAGGTTCCCTTGCTCGAAAGCCAGTCGAATCCGACTCTGGGGTTGCGGTGCTCATCTCCGTTTCAAAGCCGAAGAGCCAGCGCTGTCCGAAGATGTTTCCGTGGTCATGTGGCCGGCATGACTAAACACCAAGGCGCACAGAATGCTGTTACCTTCCCACTGAAGTGGTACCTCTTTATCTACTTGCAATTTCTTGCTTTCGAACTGCTAGGTTGGTAGGAGCTGGAACTAGAGACAGGAGCTCACTCCGTCATGCGACCCACTCTGGTCTCGAACTGCTGAACTACCGACCTTCCACAGCCTGCAGTTCAGCGTCTTAACCACTTGATCCACCGCAGCTCCACAAATAAAACATACATAAGGTTAAAAGAAATAGTTCAAATATCAAACAAAGCTTATAACATTCAGAGTTGCTAGTTATACATGTCCAATTGATGGGTACAGCTTTTGGCCAATAGATCATACGTGTTTCGGCCCCTTCGGGCCTTCCTCAGTGGTCAATATTCCTATTGTACAATAGCACACATCCAGAAATGAATGTATAAGCAATTTTTCTTAGAACCAGGTGTTGCTTTCTCATATGCTTTGCAGTTGCTAAAAGTTTGCATAATAGGCCCTGGATAGTAACTGCACAAGTTCTCCAAATTATTCTGGTAACGAACATCCCATTCGTCAGGATGTGTGTCACTTCCACCAAAGGTAGTAGTCAAGTTGGAGAATTTGCACAGCTCATACCTATGGGCCACTATACAAACTGGTAGCAAATGCAAAGCATATAAGAAAGCAACATCTGGTCATATATATATACAAGTGGGGGACCCGCGATACTCGCGGGAGAGGGGGAGCTCCACACCTATGAGGAAGAGGAGGAAGCAGCAGGAGGAGGTAAGTTCCCCCCCATCCCGCCGGTTCTTCCGTCTCCTCCACCCCCCTCCACCCCCTGGCTCGA